CCCCACCTGCAGGCCCCCCCCCCGCGAGCCCCGCCCACTGACAGGGCGCGCCCCAGCAGACTCCGCCCACTGACAGGGCGCGCCCCAGCAGACTCCGCCCACTGACAGGGCGCTCCCCAGCAGACTCCGCCCACTGACAGGGCGCTCCCCAGCGGACTGGCCTCCACCAACAGAGCCATCTCAGTCTGAGCTCTCCAGGAAGTGGGACTAGAGTCACTTCTAACATAGGACATGGCAGTTACACAAGACTCAAGGAAGAAGAAAGCCTTACTATATCAAAGAAAACGGATAAATAGCCTCTTGTAAAGGGCACATTATAGTACACAAAATGCTTATACAGCACATAAATAATGTATTTATGAAATACTCCTTTCAAAACAAGTACCAAGATGAGAATGCAACTTATAGGATACACTTGGAGGGGTTGGGGAGGAACCTACTAAATTCATAAGGAGAAATGGGAAGATCTTTACCCTCACCAATACTTTAAAATGTGCCAATGTCTTCAGTATTTTTCACATGTACAATGAGCAAATAACAAAAGACATGAAATGCTTGCTATGTACTTTTTACAATTACAAAAGAAAACAACCTCTAAGTCTGGGGCCACAAGTGCAGTGGGGAGCACAGCACTATGAGACAGAGCCCACAGACTGACCACAGTTTAGGCTCGAGTCCCTGTGGTTTGCAAAACATGCTATGCATACACACGTGCATGCCCCAAATACTGACGGTGTGACCCTGCTCCACTGGGAGGGTCCCTTCTAGCTGCCTCTTCATTTTGAGAATAAGTAGAGTACAGGAATAGGTCGCTCGCTCGCTCTCGCTCTCTCTCTCTCTTTCTCCGGTGAGTGCATATGTTCTACAACAAACTAAACACAGTAATAATAAAATTAAATAAATAATTCTTTCCCAAAAAAGAAAAATGACTTTGGACTGAGTTTTTTTTAAATCCTATTAATATATTACATTGTCACACTGCTCTTATTTTCCCTGTCAGTAGCCAAGAAATACAAATTAATTATCTATCAGTAGATTAATTTCAAGTATTTTATTATTCTACCTGTCAATAAAATGAGATAGACTTGTAAGCATTGTTGTGGCAAGACCCCCTTACTGCCACAAACAGTACCTACAACACTACACAATGCATGCAACCTCAAAGGACCAGGGTGTGACCCATCTGCTCCCTTCTTCTCTCCCTACATGCACGCACGCACACACGCACGCACGCACACACGCACGTGCACACACACACAGAACAGAGTGTGGAAAGACAGATACTAAAGTACCTCAAGATCATCTCTGGAGAAGGAAGAGGAGTGATTTGGCATTTAAGATTAGACTATAAGATTACACTCATTGTATTTAAAAATGTATTTTGGGCCCAGCCAAAGTGCTGCAAGCAAGAGCACACAGCAGCACCCAGCTGAGATCGCACCAGAGGCCAGGTTCAGTTCTCCGTCCCACGCAGCCAGGCCTGAGATGTGCAGCTGGCCCTAACTAGCTGGGCAGGCCAGGCCTGATTTCTCACTTTCTCTCTTTCTCTCCCTCCCTTCTTCATTCCCAGTGAGCACAGGTACCCTACAGCAAAAGCTAAAAAAAAAAAAAAAAAAAAAAAAAAAAGAAAGAAAGAAAAGAAAAAAGTTCATATTTTTAGTTAAAATTGACCTTCTAGAAACCCAAATTTAAAATATGCATGCATGTGTCCATGTGTACGCATTGTAAATACATGACAAAGAGACATGACAAATCTGTAATTAAATAATTACAAAAGCCAAAACTGAAAACAGCAGCACTGCAGAGCAAGAGTGAATGCAGTGCCCTCCGATGCACAGAACTCCCCCAAGTCTGCAGGTGGTGACTACAGGATAAACGGAAATGTTTAAATACACATGGAATTGAAAATAGTTTTATAAAAGTAAGCCCAACCTGCAGGTGTATAGGGGAAAAATACATTACACTAAACACTTGAACAGAGGCTGGGTTAGCTTAGGGCATCACGGTTAAAGATGATCTCGCTGCTTTTTTGGCTGCATCTTCTGCATGTGTGAGTGTGCGTCTTCGATTCAATCAGGCAGTCATGGGGACTATGGCAGGTTCTCTTGTCCCTGAGCGAGACTGAGCAGGCCCACCCGCTGTGCTTACTCTTGCCTGCTCAGTGACGCTGTCCTTCTGCGTTTGACCTGGACTTCCACTTCCGGCACGTGCTGTTCCGTGGTGCGTCTCAGGTGTAAGCGATCCCTGAAAACACGAAAATATTCATTTGCCTAACAAACTTCATCATCAACTTATACAACATTTATCTCAAGGCTATATGTAGAAATGTATATAATATGAGGGGCTTTAAAGTTTAAAAAGGTGGAAGCCAGCAGGTGGGCTAGTGGTTAAGGCACTACATCCCCACATGGCCAACAGCAGTTTAAGTCTCAGACCCAGCTTAAATATCACACCAGGCGCACGTGTGCATGCCCAAGATCCCAGGAGGAGAATGAAGGGAGAGGGACGGTGGCATAGCCATCATCCTTGAGGGGTGACTTCTTACTGCCTCTAACTGTCTCTCTCTCTCTCTCTCTAGTGAGTACATGTACCCTATGGCTAAAAAACTTAAACCTGTGTCCTTCAAATACCTAAAAGCTATGCTATAGCCACTTTATTTCTCCTTTTAGAAACCTATCACACCCCAAACCCTGGTTCAAAAAAATCAAGAAATAAAGTACAAACAGTAAACACATGGGCCAGCTGGCGTGGTGGTGGCTGTAACAGCTGGATTCCACGCAGCGTGGCTGGAGAGGTTCCTGCCAAAGACATGGCGGCTCGAAACAGCCACCAAGAGAAGGTATGTGCATCCCCAAACACAGGAGAGGGAGGGACTGCGGCATGGCACACACAGCCCCCACACAGAGATGCTCTTATTTTTCATTCTCTCTGGCAAGTGCAAGCACTCCAGAGCAAAACTTTCAAAAGCAGGGACCAGCAGTTAGTGTAATAGCTGTGATGCTGGACTCCCATGTAGTCGACCACGGTTCAAGTTCCGGACCCGCTGACTTAAACTCACGCCGGGTGCGTGTGCGTGCATGCCCAAGATCCCGAGAGGAGAATGGAGAAGGGATTGTGGCATGGCCATCACCCCTGGGGGTTGATTTCTCACTTCCTGTCTCTCCGTCTCTCTCTGTCTTTCCGATGAGCTTATGCGCCCTGTAGCAAAAATCTTTGGGAAAATAAAAACTTAAAAAAGCAAATAAAACCTTCCATTTTACACATACACATAAAAATATGCATTTATGTAAACAGATACACACACAAAGGCATACACATAATATAATTACCCTGTTAGTCAATCTGTTCTCCAAAGAGCAAAGCTTATTCCAAAATAGCTTGGGCAAATATTTTTTGGAGAGATTCATTTTGTACAATGTAAAGACGTACAGTGATGCAATATTTTAAAAAGAAGAAAAAGGGGTAGATTCTTTTGCATAGTAGAATGGCATGAGTAAAGTTTAAATTATAAAAAGTCTACTTTAAAATCCTCTTGTACAAATGCTGTTTTCTTAGGATTTTCAAAACAGAGAGAGGCTACTTTTTTAAAGAGATTTTTTGCCTTAGGGCATATTTCAGGGGTTGGGGGTAGGGGCGGGACAGACACAGTGAAAGAGAAAGTGAGAAATCACTGCCTAGGGGCTAGTCATGCTGCAATCCCCTCTCCATCCTCCTCCGAGGATTCTGGGCACACATGTGCACACACCGGTGTGATTTTTTCAAGCCACCATGTTTGGGACTGAAAACATGGCTGGTCATGTAGAAGTTCAGCAACATAACCACTCCACCATCTGCTGGTCCCCAGAGGCGCTACTTAAGCAAAAAAAAAAAAAAAGAAAAGAAAAGAAAAAGAAAAAATAGGAAAAAAAAAATTGCCGCCACGTTAGGATCTGCAGAACACTTCACAAATGGCTGCTCAGGGAAACAGACCACAGAGGGCTGACTGTGCTGGCAACCACTCATAAAATTCAAAATAGCTTAAATAAGAAAGGACAGAAAAAAGGTCTTTCCAAAAGTCATACAAGGGGCCAGCAAGAGGTGTCGTGATTGAGGGTACTGTAGACTGCCACATGGTCGACCATGGTTCGAGCCCCAGACCTGGCAGCTTGCCTTATCACTTTCCCTGTCTCTTTCTCGCTCTCTCATTCATTCGCTCATTCTGTCCCTTTTTGGTCAAATTAAAAAGTGAATGAATGAATGAATGAAGTTATATAAAACAATTCTTTAAAATAAAACTCATGCAAGTAATATCTCAAAGGCAGAAATCAAAGGACACACTCCAGCGGCTAATTCGCTGCTATTTTAAGCAGTCGTTTTAGATTCTTATATTGGTAAAATGTTGGTGTACAAATTGCTTCAAGAGGGACCAGCAGTTAGCATAATGGCTGTGTTGATGAACTCCCATGTAGCCAACCTAGGTTCAAGTCCTGGACCCCGTGGCTTAAACTCACACCAGGCGCATGTGCGTGCATGCATGCCCAAGATCCCAAGAGGAGAATGGAGGAGAAAGGATTGCAGCATGGCCAGCCACCCTGGGGGGTGATTTCTCGCTTTCTATCTCTCTGTCTCTGTCTGTCTGGTGAGCATACGCGCCCTATAGCAAAAACCTCCCCCCAAAAAATTGCTTCAAGATTTTTAAATGTTCTAATCAAGCTATATAAACAATTTTAAAAATCAAATATACACACACATTAGAGTTTTAAATCATAAAATTGTATACATTGCTGATCACAACATTAGGCAATCATTTCTTAAAGGGCCTCTTACGTACAAAGCAGCCTAAGAAACAGCTGCGACAGCACACGGTGTGGCAGACAGCATGTGGTGGGCCCAGGGGCAGCAGGCCACGCCAGCTAGGACTGTGTGAGAGCGGGGACACATCGCTCAGCACATGGATGAACTGGCCTTGATCCAGTGTGAAACAGTAAAGATCTTTGCTTCAAAGGACACCAAATAAAGTAAAAGATGGACCAGCAGAATAGGAGGAAATACGAGTAAGTTATACGGGTGGTAAGACTGTTGCCAACAGAAAAAATAACCACAGGACGGTAGAAACAGAGGAGTGGGAGAAGCTCAGAAGGTGATGAGCGAGGTTGCCGCAGGTGTACATGTCCTCCCTAACATGACACTCTGTAAACTTTCTGTATGCCAATCACATTTCCATACAGTTTCAAGTCTTGTGTTCACAACGTATAAGGAACTTGTACAACAACAATAAAAAGACAAAACCTATTTTCAAAATGAGTAAACAATCTGAAGAGATAGTTCGCAAAGATTTACCAAACCATTAGAGAAATGCAAATCAAAACTATAATAAGATACTACTGGACACCACAAGAATTGGGAAAAAGAGATTTGAACAAATTGTGGCAAAGTAAAGTGGTACAGCCTTGCACACTTCACAAAATTTACATATGACCCAGTAAGTTCCCTTTTAGACAGAGCAACATTAAAACTCAAACTGGAACATGAGTGCTCCTACTAGCGCTATTCATAACAGCCAAAAAGTGTAAACAACACAAATGTCCATCAACTGATGCATGGACAAATAAATATGGTGTGGTATGGTAAATCCATAAAAAGAAATATTATTCAGCAATAAAAAGGGGTGAAATACTGATTCATTTTACAACACAATGGTAGGTTCTCACATATATTTTAAAATGCAATACACTAATTTAATATAATAAAAGGAGTTGGGATCAGCAGTCAGCGTAATGGCTATGTAACTGAACTCCCATGTAGTCAACCACAGTTTGTGTCCCGGACCCAGTGGCTTAAACTCATGTCGGGTGCATGTGCATGTGTGTCCAAAATCCTAAGAGGAGAATGGAGGAGAAGGGATTGTGGCATGGCCATCCCCCCCTGGGGAGTGATTTCTTGCTTTCTGTCTCTCTGTCTGTCTCTGTCTTTCTGGCGAGCACACATGTCCTATAGCAAAAACGTGTCTAAAAAATAATAAAAAAAAATAAATAAAAGGAGCTATTGTCCTCCAGATTCTAACTAACTAATCCAATATTGTATAATTATCTGTTACCAGAACACATCTTTAGCTGGTTTATCAGTTGCTCAGTATGAAAAGGGGTGAGCTGTCAGTTGGGAAAAGTCATAATGCAAAAATATTCTTAGTTCTATTTTTACGAATCTCTTTTTAAAGAATTATTTAAATTTATTTATTTTTAATTTGACCGAAGAGGGACAGAGCTTGAGAGAGAGAGAGAAAGTGAGAAAGCAAGCCGCCAGGTCAAGGACTAGGACCACAGCCAGCATGTGGGAGTCCAGCGCCTCTAACTACCACGCCACCTGCTGTCCCCATCTACTTTCTGATTCTCACTTTCAACTACATACAAACCCCCTGTGAGCTTTATCCTGAAGAGGGTGAAGTCTATTCTAGATACATCCATACACAAGTTTCCATTTATAATCGTCCTAACCGAATTCCCAACCCAGAAATCAACATTTCAGGAAATTAAGCATTCAAGAGAAAAAGCTAAATGTATACATAGTTGTTTTTAGTTCTAAAATAACTTTCATTGAAAAAAATCTAGAAATACCCTGAAAAGCAGAAAAAGCAAAGGAATCTCACAATTTTATTCTTAACTGCCTACAATTTCTATATAAATAGTCTTTAAATAAACAAAAAAATTAAAATATAGACTAGTATCTCAGGAATTAAAAAAATACAAAAAGATAGTGTGAGATCCTACCAGTCTGCGTACTACAGGTATGAGAAAAATTAGGGCTTCCAAAACAAAACCGCTGGAGAGTCAGCAAAAAGGTCATTCTGGGTCAGCTAGTGCTCAGAAATTGGAAGAGAAAAGAAAGAAGGTTTGTCTCCTACCTTCACTGAAAGCAGCTGCCTTAGCCAGTAACAACTCTCATTCAAGCTTCCTAGGCTTTGGGAGGAAAGGCGCGGCCCCTATAGCCCACTCTGCAGAAGAGAGATCAGAGCCCTGGCTCACTGCCCTCCCTCCTCCCGGGAGCCACAGCACTCCCCCCTGCTCATGTCAAGGACCCCAAAAGCGCTGCACACTAGAGAACGGTGACAAGAGCTTACCCTAGAAACCGTGACGTCTTAAATGTGAAGTTAGTTGGAAAACAACACTGAACATTAGGAAAAGAGAGTGAGGAAGAAATACAAAAATGCAGAGTAACCATCCATCCATGACAAAAATCTTGGATTCAGAAACCAGATAGAATAGGGAAGCCAAGACAGTAGAACCGAGTCTGTGAGCGAACCTAAGCTAGATGGCACCCACCTAGCAGCTGCACGGAGGCCCGGGAGGACGCTCCATCGGCTTCCCAGGAAGCCCGCAGAAGACCGTGGGTCGCCAGGCGGTCGCCAGGCTGGGGCTGGGGCCTCCCGACAGGTGCAACATGGGGCTGGGTGCAGGGCCTGTGAGGGGCCACACTTGGCTAGGCCTCACAGCTGGAGTTGGCATGTATCCAAGCGGGGAACACAGAAATGGGCAACATTGCACACATGCCCGGGCCTCCCTATTTCTCAAAGTACTAGAAAATAGACTATGCTGGAAGGAAGCTTTTCTTTTCTTTCTTTCTTTTTTTTTTTTTTTTTTTTTTTTTTTTTTTGGTATCTTTTTCAATTGCGGGTGTGTTTTACATTGTTCGCCAGCCAGCCAGCCAGCCAGCGAGACAGAAAGCAAGAAATCACCCCCCAGGGGGGATGGCCACACCGCAATCCCTTCTCCTCCACTCTCCTCTCGGGATCCTGGGCACACGCGCCTGGCATGAGTTTAAGCCGTGGGTCCAGAACTCGAACCGACATGGGAGACCAGCGACATAGCCATTACGTCAGCTGCTGGTCCCTCCTCCGTTTACCTTTTCAGCCATCCCAGCTCAGCACAGCTAACACACTGGTGAGATAGACTGGGTGGAGGAAGATTAAGGACAAAAATTAAGAAAAAATTAAGGACACAAAAGACTGCAAAGCAAAAAAATCTTTAAAAAAAGTTTTTAAAAAAATCATATTGGAGTAATATAGGAGTGCAGTTATTTGGTTCGTTATCCTTGTCACCAAAGTCTCATTGGAATTCCAACTTCAAAAATGACTAAAAGCATTGACTTAGAAGTCCAGCGAAGGGCAGCAAATTGCACGCACCCTGAACACCTCCACCCAGCTCGATCCGCCCCGCTTTTGACATCTTTGGGCAGACCATCTCCGAGGAGGCCAGGAGGGCCGGGTGTTTTGCGGCATCCTCACATGGGTCGGGACCACACTGACCCGCTAGGTTTAAGGAAATCCTCGACGTGGCGGCGCGATGGGGTACCAGGGGTCTCAAGGGAGACAGGCTCTGAAGGTGGCCTGCCCGTCGGTTACCGAGTCGGCAGGTGGAAGGAGAGCTGCGCTAAGGGGTTCTTGGTACCCTTCGGAGGTGGACAGTTCAACCAGCGGGCGAGCAACAGGACTGAAGAGGTGGCCTTTGCAGAGTTGGAGAGCAAGCGTAAACCGTGCGCCAGGGACGGACTCACGAGGCAGCGCGGCATGTTCCGGGCGGCCGCGCCCGGTGCCTGTTCAGACCCTGCCGTTCCAGGGGCCGAGCGGCGCCGCCCGTTCGGGGGGGGGCTGCCGCAAAGTCCTGGCCTCTCCCCTTCCCCCGCCCTGCACTGCGGCAGAGTGGGGAAGGGGCCGGCTGCAAAGCCTGGGTGGAGCTGGTGCTGACCCACCACCTGTCCCCGGCTGTGCCCCAGCAGGGACGGAGCAGATGCACTGCTGTCAGGTACAGGCGGAGGCTGCCGACCCGCGAGGCACTGCCCCGCACGGGGGAGGGGACGCCATCCTGCCCACGCCCACGCCCGCAGCTTTCTCCGTCGCAGCATCTGCCCAGGGAGTCTGCGTCCCAGCGCACGCACGCTCCGCAGGACTCCCCTCGGCCCGCGGTCGGGAGGGGTGGCTGGGACGCCAGCAGCGCAGGAGTGCGGCCTTGCCGCAAGGTGGGGAGGGGGCGCCGGCGCACCTGCAGCGCCTGCGCACAGCCCGGCCTCTGCAGGGGCCGCCATCTTTGCGGAGCGCACAATGGCGGGGATCGACTGGGACCTCC